AAGTTTTATAATTTTGCTGTTAAATAGTTTGCACAAAAAAAAAAATGAAAAGGACAAGTCATCAATTGAAAAACTCTATTAAAACCGTCCCTTTTCAAAGTTTGTTTTGGCTTCTTCTTCTTCTTCTCCTTCTTCCTCTTCTTCTTCTTCTTGTTTCATTTTTTTTTCCAATTCCTTTTCTTCTGCTTTTTTCTTTCACAGTTATCGTTTGCTAAAGAAAACAGATAAATAGAAGAAGACTGTTTTTTTTTTTTTTTTTTCAAATGCGATAACTAGAGAAATCAATTTAACTTATAGTTTATTCGACATTCTTCTGGTATAGATCATTATACTTGCCATAATGCAAATGTAAGTTCTAACCTCCGGTCAGTATAGTTTGATCTATGTCTGTTAAGTTCTGTGGTTATTCTACGTTCACCATCTATCTTCTTTTAAATAAAAACCCTTTTGACTACCACCCCACGTAATACATAACAGAATCAAATTTTTAAAAGTTAAGAATGATTTAAAATAATGCTTATCTATTAGGATACAAATTTTAGACGGAAATTTAGAAAAACTCAACTTCTCTAAAGTTTTTTTTCTTTTTTGTTATAATGTTTAGTCTAAACTATATATATATATATATATATGTTCATCAAAGGAAGCAACTATTTGTGTAATATATAGATATAACGTTTTAGGTTATTTGAAAAAAAATTTTCTATAGTATAGCGAGAAATAAAAAATGCATTGTAGACGACAATAGGTTTGGTTTATGTTAAAAGTAAACTGAAAAAAAAAAATCAGAAAAAAATTTTTTTTTTGCTTATTTTGTTATTTAGACTGGTTTTCTACACTTTTTTTTACTCTGTTACTGTTGTTGGATTATAGCTATTCAAATATTTTTGCCTATAAAAGTGGTTGACCAGAACTGGATATTCCGAGTGTAAACATATACGACTAAACTGTTTAGTGTGTTAAATATATTTATGTTTGGTAATGCACTTTTTTTTTTTTTTTTGCAACTTTTTTGCTATTTTATTTGAATGGTTAAATTATTTGATTTAAACTTTAACGGCATTTTGTGCCATCAATATCAGTATGGTATATGCATTCGGAGGATCTGTTTGTTGGTGGTTTCGTTAACTAGATCAATCAACACAGTAATTTTTTTCTAGTTCTTTCCTGTATTGGAAAACTTCATCTTTTGATAACGTTAGTGTCAGAACAGATTCTCTAAAAATTATGTATTGATCGGTAAAAAGAAAAAGTTGCTGGGAAAATGAAGTTTTTTTTTTTTTTTCGTGGAAGAAGATCGGCTGAGGATTTGATTGTAAATGCAACCTAGATGAAGTTATTTCTATGCCGCAACTCTAGAAAGGAAACAGGGAACAATGTCTACTAAGTGCTTCTTTTTTCCGTTTCAAAAAGTATTTTTAAACATTTGATTTGATGACTGGTTATTTTTGATGCTTTAAATGAGTATTTCATTTTGGGCTCATCTGTAGATTAATGGTTTAAAATTTTTCATTCCTTTTTTGTTTTGTTTTGTTATAACTTTACCGTTCTAAATGCTGTTTGTTATACCATTTTTTTAAAACTAGATTTCTGTAAAGGTATTTATGTAAAAGAAAAGCTTTTTTTTTTTTTGAATAAATAATTGTTTTGTAAGTTTCATTATTTTTTCCTTTGGAAAAACAGCAATGAACTGAAGACCGTTTATTTTGACTGATCATAGTGATGGGAGAGTTAGTGACCAGAGTAGTGTATTTGTAAAATAAATTCTAAGTTTAATGAGTTTTGAGAGTGGAATAAAGTATATAAATAATTTTTTGGTAATTGACAGCTGTTGAGATTGAAACTAACACTTTTAAATTTGGCGCCAAATGTCGAAGTGTTTCAATTTAAAAATCTTTCGGCTTTTTCTCATAATTTCGTCTCTTTGCCTATCAAAGTGGATTAAGGTGTATGCATGGCTTTTTTTTGCGTATTTGGCTCTCCATTTTTTTCAGTCTCATTATTCAGCTTCTCTTTTTTTTTTTTATTTACTCAACAGTTGTCACCAGCGTTATAGACTGCATAAGGCAAGAAAGAACTTTTGTTTTTGTTTATTATAGAGATTGAAGGTGCTCCGTACAAAATACAAGTGGACACCAGCGATCATCGACTGACGTTGGAATAAACCGTTGCTGCTCTGATTGATTACGGGATTGACATCAATTGTGATCGACGACAAAACAAAAGAGGGAAAACAGACTTGGTAAAGAGGAGGCGAGGTTTGATCCTTATAGATGATGCTGTACAGATTATGACCAAACTGGTTTGGCCAAAAATACCACTGTTTGACTCTGTGTGTTCACGTAAGGAATATTGTTTTCTTTTTTTTTTCCTTGCTGTCCATTCACTGTTTTCTTTGTCTAAAGGAAAAGAAGGAAAGAAAAAATTATGGCTAACTGACTAAACTACGAAAGACAGATAGGGAGAAAAAAAGGCATAATTGGTGGTAGAAGAAAAAGAAAGGGAGGCTATGATAGCACAAAAGTTTTCATCTTACATCCGTGAAAACAAAACTTTGGTTTGTTGAGCTGTGACCGGGAGATACAAAAAACCCAAAAGGTTTCAAACTAAGTTTCATTTATTCTCATCTGTTTTCATCCAGTTTTTTCTTCTATTTCTTCTTGCTAACTTGCATTACACTTGAAGGCATTAAAGTGAGGTATGCGTGTGTCGTTTTTCGGAGCAAATGTACAATTATGTGTATATATGTATATATCAATGTTTCTGAAATGTATTTTAGGTAGGTAAGAAGACAAGGGCGTCAAGCAGTTTTCCGTATTAGGCATTTAGCGATAGCGGAAATGGAAAAAAAAATGACAACTGTCGAATTACTGCAAATCAAAACAAATTTCTATTTTTTGTTGCAATTTTTGCTGGGGATGTCAAAGTTACCCCGTTACAACGTCCTCCCCCGTCAGCCTCACTGTCCTCCACTTTTTGGCCTCTTACTGCTGCTGCCTTGTGATTTTTTTGCCTTCACTTTATTTGGCATTGCTTGCCAGTGACACACACAAAGGGCATACAGCGACCGCCGTAAAGTACGCTTGCGTTTTGCACGGAGTGCAACTCCGATGAAAAAAAAAAATTTTTTTTTGTCACTTTTGTTCTTTTCTTCGGGTTTTGCCTATCAATAAAGCTACTGCCACTCAGTGACCAAACGATCATTTGCGAGTAAACTGATGAAGATGTGGTGAATTTTTTCCCCATCGTCTTCTTCTTATCGTTTCCTTTACAGCAGGTTTTACGATACTGGGTGAAATGTAATAGTTTTCTTGAACGTTGTCTTTAACCTTTTCTTTCAATTCCAGTGAGAAGCATAGAAAAAATTTTTAGTTTTTTTCTTGATTGTGCTAATGGGTTATGAAAAAAAATTTTTTTTTTGTTTGTTTGTCTTTATAGTGCTATGCTTGTATAGAAATGTTTTGCTATCAATAATGTATCTGGTATTTAATGATTCCGAATATCAATGGGGGGAAAAACGAAATGAACCATATTTTCGTATGCATAATTGAAGTGGCAAAAGGAAAAAAAAAGGCCTATAAAAATATTGAACAACTAAGTTACCCAATTTTATTTTCAGTGTTTATGAAATTTCAGTATAAAAATCAGAGATGAACTCTATTTAAAAAAGCCAGCAAAATTCGGTTTGTGAAACAACTGAAGTTTTTTCACAATGAGTTAAAACGTTCGGTAAATGATTGCTGCCATCAGTAGCTTGCATATAAATAATTTGCTTTATTGGCGCTTTTTTTGGGGAATAAAGTGTGCATTTGTTGTTCTTTGATGTTCAGTTTTTACGCTTTTTTTTAAACTAACTTTCTTCTAGCAGTATTGGATAAGAGGAGAGATATAAAAACTGACAAAATTCATTTATATAGAAACTCAAAATTAGTCTATAATTATATAGTCGATATTTTAGGGGAATATGTATTTTTTCCGTGAATCACGCAGTTTTTTTATTTTTAGGTCTTGTGTTTATAAAGTCCAGCGCACTTTGAGGTGCGCATTCGCTGGTAAAAGACTCCAGCTACAATGGTGTTTCTTCGGAAAAAGGAAAAGGAAGATAGGAAGGATGAAAGAAAGAAAGTAAATTAGCTTTTCTTTGCAGATTCAGAATTATAACCGTTAATGGTAAATAAGGATTTTTCTGCTCATAAGATTTTTTCACTTTTCCGCTGTTTTATTTTTGGTTCATTTTTAGTGCTTAAGAACTATCACGTTTTGTCACATACGTTTGAAATTTTATTAGGATAAGAAAGTTGTTTTCTAAATTATGCTTTTAGAAATTTGTTGAGAAATGCATATCAGCTGGGTTTTTTCTATTTTTAATGCAGTTTATTATAATCATTAATTCATCTCACTCACATTTAACTTTTGGTATTTAAATTTGACTTTCTTGAGGAACTGGCATTGATCAGTAGGTAAACTAATCGTAGCCTATTATTAGGTTTTTGGGAAAGATTCATTGCCTGTGATAGGAAGAAAACCTCCGTTACCACCGCAGTCAAATGCAAATGGTGACGCAAAACCATCAGCACCACCTGTCCCGGCTCCAAGAACACTCGAAAAAGGTTCTACAAGTTCTAAATAAAATGGAAGTGTTTTCTGTCTCTGTGGTATTTGACAAGTTTTTACAGCTCCTGACCTTCAAAACATTGCCATTAATTCCGGTAAAGTGGAGGAAAACGCTTATGTTGAATACGCTTTTCCTATATTAAAAGTTAGTGTAGTTTTGGATGTCATTTACATCTAATACTTTTTAAAGTAAAGAAGTGGTTTTGATTGTATTTTGGACCACTTTATGTGCATTTTCGTTTAGGATTTGCCAAAGCTTTCACTACCTGCTTTAGCTGTTGTGCAAGTGAACCAACGCACACTTCTTCTACAGCGCAATGTTTATGGTTAGAAAGTTAAGATATTGTTTTCAGTGCTACCCTTTTGGATACTTTCTTTGCTTTTTTTTTTCATCTAGTTGTTGTTGTCACCAAAAGATTAGGGGCTGTATAAACCAAATAAACTGAAAATGAAAGCTTAGGTGGATTTGGATTCAATGTGCGAAGAACACAGTATCCTGACAAAAGGGGCCGTTTACGTGCCGTTGTATTCGTTGAACCGACAGAAGTTCGTTATGGTCCCCCTCGCCCGAACGAAATTCGTAGTTCGTTACTGCCTGGCGATCAACTAATTATGGTCAATGGAAGACCAGTGGAATCAATGGGACGTGAAGAATTGCTTCGTTTGATTCAAGTAATTGTTGTTTTTAGTATATTATTTCTTAATTTTTTTTTCATTTTTAAATGTTTAATTCAATTTTTTTTTGGATTTCCAAGCCTGCTTCAGAACTCAGAGAACACTATAGAACTAACAGTTAGGGCTATGCCAGAGCTTGCTGAACTTTGTGATCGTCATCAGAAAGGTGCCCGAGATTCTGGGGACTCATTAATGTTACCTGTTGTCGGTCATACTTTTCCTGAACAAGTGAATTTTTTTTTTATTTTATGGGTTTTTATGTGGATTATTGTTGTTTTTTGCGCGTGAATAGGTCACTTCTTCTCAAAAGTTCTCCTATCTTAACAAAGGATTTGTGTCAGGATATACCAGAAGATGAGAGGTATTGGCTTATGCACAAAAACGGTTATACACTTGCTCGTCTTCTGGAGACAACAAATGATGGACGAATGAAAGTAGCCGTTTGTGGTATGGAAATGATGGTCGATGTCACCGATGTTGATAAGGCAAATCCTGTTAGCAGTGATCGAGCTGAAGATCTTTCCGGGTGGGATATTTTAAGAAAGGCACTAGTTCTATAACTTGATGTTGATCGTGAGTTTGTTTCTTCAGGTTACGGTACATAAACGAAACGAGTGCTATACACGTTTTACGACATCGTTTTGGAAGCAATCTCTTATATACAAATGGGGGGTATGACAGCATCATTAGTATTGCCAGTGAATGCCAGCCATACTTATGTAGCAAACTAGTAACTTTGTTTAAAGGGTGCAGAAGGCAACAAATGCCACCTCACATATATGCAACTGCGCAGCAGGCTTACAGGTCTCTTTGGGAGCCAACTGTTTTTGATTACCGTTGTTAAATGAATAACCACGAAACACTTTTCAAACTCAAGGAGTGGTTCCGCTTTTTGAAGTTAATGATCAAGTTTAAAATGCAGATATTTTACTTAACGCACCGTAGTAAATATTATTACAGGGCATTGCAAATGACTGGGAAAAGTCAGTGTTTGATGCTGACTGGAGTTACTGGTAGTGGCAAAACAGTTCAGTTGCGTAACATATGTCATTATCTCTGCGAAATTGCCGGTTGGACTCATGCTTTGACATGTACGTTGTTGTGTTATTGTAGTGATTATGATAGCTGCCCTGTGGAAACATGTGCTTTTACTTTTCTTGCCATTTTGAATTTTAGGCATTATTTTTTTTTGTTTAGTCGAGAAAATGTCTCTTGCGTTTGGTGTTTTGGAGACTTTTGGCAATTGCACAACGAAGTTTAACAAAAACGCTTCCCGATTTGTGCAGCTAGTGTCGCTTTCGTTTGATTCTGCAGCGTCCTTAAAGTGTGTTGGATCTTCTTAATAATTGAGAGTTCAAAACCATAGTTTGCTAAAGCTGTCCTTTCTAGTTGCCATCTAATTTAAATTCACTTTTTTAATGACTTACAGGATGGCAAAGATACAAACTTTTCTGTTGGAAAGTACGCGAGTTGTTTCCCGATCAGCGAACGAATCAAATTTTCATATATTCTATTATTTGCTGGAAGGTGTTGGGAAGGAAGTCTTTGAAAGGATGCGCTTAGATGCTATCGGAGAACCTGTCCGTACGGGAATGACTCGAGAAGAAGACCGGGAAGCCGCGCAGATGGTACTGTTTTTTTTTTTTTTTTTTTTTTTTTTTTTTTT